ATCCTGGCAGTGTTTGTTTGTTGACTCGTTTGATACCTGGTTTTGATTGCGATGTTAGTTCCAGTTCCCCCTTGTTTGCAAGGTCAAGGAATATGGAGAGACCTTCCCCCCTCAACAGTGCCAGTTGCCCAGTGTTTGATTTTGCTTGGGTTGTTTGGTGGCCGAACGGTTTTAACTAACAAGTGGAGGTGTCTACTTTCCTGCCATTGCCACCATGCAATAAACTGACATTTTTTGCACGAACAAAGTGCCAACATGTGCAAACAGTGTTTGCCAACAGAAGCTGAAATGGATGTGCTTTGTTTCGAGGATGCTCTGTTTAGGGTTGTTTTCAAGTTTCTGCATTTTACAGACATGCCAAACTCCATTGTAAGCTTAACCCCCTAATTCTTGACCCGACGGTATAGCCGCACTCCGCACGACGCTGCTTGCTCGTAAGTCCTTTGACCCACTCATGCACCCAGGCCCACCCACCTATCCACTCATCAATCTTGAGGCCTTGCCAGAAAGACGCCCCTTGTGGACACCCTTTACCGTCCGTCTAAAGCGAAGGGTTTCAACCATGTCACGGATGTTGGCTCGTCTCCAAATGCGGAGCCTCCGAAGTGAGGGTTGTTCCCTCTTGACAACCCCTAAAAGGAGCAATCAAAACAACCAACCGACATTTTCCCATGTTGGCAACATGGGCTTGCTTCTTGATTGATTTGGTTTAAAACTAGAGGGCCCTGGTTTCCCAAAAAGGACACCTGTTGGCAATCCCTGGACCGCAAGGCTCCAGTTTCCACGGCACAAAATCCGCTCGAGGCTGGCAATCCAAGCTGCCTGGTATTGAGGCAGAGGCAGATGCCCTTGGCGGAGACCTCGGTGTGTTTCCCACCTCGGAGGTTGGTTAAGGGAAACCTCGTGTGGTTTTTCAGGGCTGCTTAAAAGATCCCCATTTTGCCCAGTTGAAACATGGCTTTTTCCACCAAAATAAAGGGACACCACCGTTTGCAAGGCAATGTTCAGGTGTACAATGTGAGGATCCCTGTTTTTGTTCGTGTTTCATCAAACAGTCAAGACTACCATGAGACACCATGACAGCTCCCTGACAAGAAAATGAAGCCACAGAAATGGAATGTGTATATATCTATGCATCCATACATATAGAATATACACGTTTGCGCGCGTGGTGATCGCGCCGCTGCAGCAATGATGGTGATGGTGTTTCATTTGGCCGTTTAATGCAATTTGGCTTGAGCAACAGAGTCTTGCATGTACTGGATGGGTGTCCAACATTTTATTTTCTTGGCTTGCTCGAGACTGCTCATGCGAAGGAAACAACATCTTTTTTCGGCGCTGTGAGACCTGTTGCGGGTTTGTGCGTGCCAACCTTGAATTTGAAAACTATTCGAACGCAGCAAGTGATTGCTATCTTAAGGTCGTGCTTTACTTCTCATGGGATTCAGGCTATGGAGAGGCGTTGTTCCTTTCGGGCTGGTAAAGCACAGCTATATCTTCAATTGCTGGGGTCGGTCCAAGAAGGTTTCATTCCCAGACTTAGCTTATTTGTTTAACTTTTTGCCTTATGGCGACTTGATAAAGATTTCCTCGCCGTGGAGGGACCTTAGATTTCGCCTTCCTGAGGCGATAGCTCCGGGTTCCATGAGATTGAATGGGACCCCAGGCGCGCGGCACGTGTGGCGTGTCGGCCGTGTCACGACGGCGGCTTTGGCGCCAACAATTTGGAGTATCTTGCGAAGGTTCCTGCATTGAACACTCAGTTGTCCAAAGCGAATCGACCTTGTCACCTTTTGGTTCTCCCGTTTTGGGAGCCGATTTTAGCCATGCCCCCAAAAGGTCAACCTTTTATTTCTGGGTCCTGGCCGAGAACATGGCCAAGCAATTCTTGTGCTTTCTTCTGCTGCTCTCCTTGTTTCAAGCGCGCTGGCTTTGAAGCTGATTTCTGGAGCCCCTCGGGGCCCCTCTGGCTGGGATCGAACCTCCCGAAACTAAAACGACCAGCGGGAAACAACGCGCTGGCGTTTTGTAGAACTGGACTTGCCAATCTGCTGGAGCTGCAGGAGTGCATTTCGCGTAATACATGTACACTGAACAGACCATATTTTTGAGCTGGAGCTGCCAAAGCGCGCCTCGATCGCGTGCTACACTGCTACTCAAAAGTATCGATTTGCGGAAGTTCTTTTTGTTTGCTACACTACTGAAGAGTAGCATTTTGGATCTGAACTTCGGAAGTGTACTTCGTTCACTACACTTGTACTGAACAGTTGCGATTTTCGCGCTGGAGCTGCTGAAGCGAAGTTCGTGCACTTCGCGTGCTGCACTTGCACTGACAAGTTTAGATTCGCGAGTTTGATCCACCACGCCGAGGAAAACAGTGTAAGGTCCAAAGCCGTGTTTTTCGACGCATGCTTGCTTTGCCAAAGCATCTCGAAACCGCAAGCCAACAGCCAGGCTGCCAAGTTTCGCACAACTTGTTTTGTCACGAATCCTCTTCTCATTGCTCCAAGGGGCTCGTCTTCTGAAAAAGGCCACCCTCATGGCCAAGCCCTTAGATCCTCCCAGGAACCTGAAGGAACCTCAAGCCTCAGGGAACCTGGAAGATAGCCCGAGGCCTGGAGCATGGTTTCTGATTGTGGATGCTTGCGAAGCTTCCGCCGTCAAATTCAGAAACACGTAAGTTTCTGATTTGCTTCCCCCGAAGATACCAACCAAAGTTATGGCTTCGTTCCCATGGCTTCATTTGGCTGTGGGTCGCAAATAGGTACCCAAAATGGGTTGCCCTGGTAGATTGAACCAAGGACTAAAACCTGCGGTCCAATTCCTGGTGGTTTAATTTTGACCCATACCCATTTCGTGGTGCGATTTCTGGATTTCGCAGTCGCCCTCTCGACACTTCCAGAGGCGCCGCGGCAAGCGTCGGGGCCGGCCGCCCCTTATGGAGGTGCCTTCGACTAGAGGGGACGCGGGCGCACCTGGATCAGTGACCATCTCCAAGCCCCTGGTAGAGGCAAACCCTGGTGTGAAAAGTTAAAAGTTGGAGTGTGCTCGAACCCGGAAAAAAACCGCACCCGGGAATTTGACTGTGAGTTGCTTGGCCAGTGTTCGACGGGTGTGGCCTTGATGGTTCATGATGCAACAGTTGGTAAGTCACGTCATGCGGAGCATTTGAGGGATGACCTGGCACTCGCGCACGTCTGCGAGACTTGATGAACTACAGTTATCTTGGCAAGCTGTCATACTGCGCAAAACAACAACTGCATATGCATAATCATGATTTGGATTGTTCGTTTGACCCTAGCGGTGCAGATGGACTGACCTTGACATGTTTCACCGATCAGTTGCCATTGACCTTCCTGATGAATGATGCTGAAGTTGTGAACGGCGGCTCATGCTTCCTATGACCAACATGTTGGGGAGTTTGTCTTCGTTGTGACATCCAGCCAATGACTGCGGCGCACTGCTCGCTGTCGGGTTGTTGGAAGATCGACAGTATGAATCCCAAAACGATGCCTGGCATTAGTGGCACCCTTCTCTTTTTGGCTGGATTGAGCTTTAAGATCAATCGAACACCAACAAAAAGCGTTCTGCCCATGGCGTCGTCCAAAATTAGGACCCTTCTTTGATACTCCCTCGGAAAACGTCCCTTTGCTCAAGACTAAAAAAAAAATGCACTTTAAAGTTAATGGGAATCTATCACTATTGGAAATTTGTTTTTTCCAGGAGGCGAAAAAAGCAAACGGAAGAAAGGCGAAAGGAACGAACACCCGCTTGGCACAGCTCAAGTCTGACAGGACGAAGGTTACGTGCGAAGTCCTGCACGGCACTCCAACCGGCGGAGGGACGAGGCGGAGCCTAAGGCTGAGGTCAGAGCTCGTCTTGTTTTGTTTGTTGGGTTCCAGGGCAACGGTGCTAGCATTGCCCGCACATTGTAAACATGACCACTGACAAGTTGAATGCAAGCCCACTCATGGGCTCTGTTGGTGCGTGTGTGTGTGTGTGTGCACATGTCTGTATGCGTGCGTGTGCACATCAGTTCTTGGCCAAGTCCGCGAATGTGCAAAATCAGGAGGCTGCTTCCATGTGCAGGTCCTCTCGAGATGTTGTTGTTTTTGGTTGCCAGGATGGGCAAATTGCTGTTTTGTTGCCAGTCTCACGGGTCCAATGTTTTCTCGCCTAAAATTGCCGGTCTCACCAGGCTGGGCAACAGACGTGCAAATGGGGTGCCAACACAGAAAAGGAAGCCTAACTTTGGATAACAAATCGCTGGATTCTTAACTTTGGATATATAACAAATGGTTGGATCAGCGTCATCTCCGAACTGGCTGCACGTACGCGATTCGATTGCGCAGCCGCCTTTTCCAGCGACGGGGGCATTTGCAAGTTTGGCGAGTTGAGCTGCCTCAAGAAGTCCATATCCACACCGTCCGCGGTGTATACTCCAACCAACTCATTAGTATGCATAGGTGGCCTTATGAGGTCAGTTTGGCTAAAAATAGATGGCACTTTTTGAAGGCGGGTTCTTATAACATACCAGTGTCTATTTTCCCAAAAGGACGCCAATGTTTGTATGTTGGTACGTATATCGTTCTTAATGTTGGATGGCTGTCCATCCTGAGAAGTCCGTCGTACTCCCCGTTCAAGGACCCCGGTATTCCATCATTCAGCAGGAAACCAGCAAGGACAGGCTTGCTGGTTTCCTCGGATCAAACCCATCAAATTTGTGCAGGTGCCGGTGTGTGTGTGTGTGTGCGTGTGTCAAACCTAGAGGAAGCCTCTATTGGTCCGCTTACCCAGACAATTCATGTGGGTACACCCACATTTACCCTCCTGGGTCACTCTGTTGGTATATATTACCTACAGTCGGATTGTATATCGAATTGTTTTGCTGGGTTTCCCCAGCAATGGTCATCCCCCTGTATTCGCGGTATTGACCTTGTGATCCAGCCCCTTTTGGCGGAGGTGTGCGCCTTGTTGGACCTCAAGGCATGGGATGGGCCCAAGTCGTGAAGGCCAAAATATTTTTGTTTAGCGCACTTGAGGAGTGCCATGGGATCGAGCCCCAGTTGCTCCACTTGCAGCCAGGATACTAGCCAGGCGGCGGCTGAGGTGGTCCAAGCCTCGAAGCAGACATTGCCTGAGGCAAGCGAGGTATTTGGGCCGGTGACGTCTTTTCAGAGCTCTGTTGAGAAGGATAGCCCTACCCTCTCGAGGCTTGACAAGTTCAGCCGCCTTGAGTCGCTGGCACATCTAGAGGTTGACGAGGAGGTGCTTCGAGGCATTCCTCTCCACCATACTTTGCAGGTTGGCTTGGGGCAGTGGAGCAGCCCCAAGGAGATGAGCCAAAGAAAGCAGGAGGCGCTCTATGAAAAGTCGAGCCCGACCCTGCATTTCGACATCTTTTTCTCTCACACATGGTTGACCACGGGCAACAGGAAGTACGTGGCCTTGCTCTTCCACAATGGCTGGCCCGTGATGGTGACAAGTTGGATTTTAGCCACCACAGTGTTGTCTATCTTGTGTTTGACAGACGCTCTTCCTATGCCATTTAGCTACCAAGCATCGGTGCTGGACTACCGGCAAACGTGCCCGTTGGGCTGTTGGGTTATTGCGCTTACTCTGCCTGTTGCATGTGCAGCGCTTGTCCTTTCACCATACTGCCCCAACAAGCTTGGGAAGCACAGCATTTGTTTCGTGGACATGTTCAGCATTCACCAAACAGATTCCATGTTACGGGAAAGAGGCATTTATGGCATCGGCGGATGCTTGCAAAGGTCCAAGGAGTTGCGAGTCTTGTGGAGTCCGCCATATTTTTCGAGACTTTGGTGTATTTTCGAATTGGCTGCATACAGGTTTGCGAATCCCCAAGGCAAGATCACAATGGCACCGCTCTTTGTGGAATCCGTCGTGCTGACGCTCCTTGTGGGGATCCTTGCTGTTTCCGCTGGCGTTTGGGTGGGAGCAGCCCTCAGGAGCATGGAGGAATATACGGTGCTGCACATCCTGCTAACTTCAATATTTTCTTCCGTGCCACTTTTGGGCATCATCCACGTCCTCCGCAAAGAGACAAGAGCAAAGCGTCAATTGCTTCTTGATCTCGAAAGTTTCAGCCTGGACCGGGCAGAGTGTTTGTCTGACTTCGACAGGGAATTCATCCATTCTGCCATTGACAAGTGGTACGGGAGTGCTGAAGCCTTCGCCAAATATGTGAGAGGTCCCCTGCGGGCTGAGCTGCTTCAAAGCAATGCCGCAACCGTGCCATCGGCCTACCTGATGACCTGTGTAATTAGCATTGAGAGCATTCAGGTCGAGCTCTTTCTCGCGCTTGTGAAGGGCGGAGCACCCTTGAAGTGCATTTTGGCTGTTCTAGTGGGATTGATGATTGGCCCGGTGTTCTACCAGTTAAGCTGCTTCAAGCTCATGCTCAAGCTGGCAGAAAAGTTTGCAGAGCCCTGCAATGCCATCTTGGATCTACTGCAGACCTTCCTCATTTGGCTCACAACCTGGTTTTTGCTCGTGATCTGCGGTTCTGCCACCGTGACGCTGCTATCCAGACCTAATGTACTGCCTTTGTTGCTCCTGGTGTTGTTCGAATGTTTGGTGTTCCTGGCCGCCTTTGGCCACTTGCCACTGCGCCGCGTTTGTCTCCGAAGCTCGGATCGCGCTTAGGCGATGGACTTTTCACCGGGCCCACAAGTTTCACGCTTCCCTTTAAATCACTTTCTGTCTCTGGAAGGGAGACGACAATGTACCTCGCAGAAAGACAAGGGGCGAAGACAAGACTCGCCCGCCAGATAATGTGAAACAAGTGCTTGTGGCTTGTCACGATAGTGGGCCTGCTGGGCTTGTCTTCGGTCTCAATCTACTTAGCTCAGCTGAGATGACCACCTTCAGTAATTACAGCATCCCAGTCACCCGAGCCACAATCAAAACTCGGGAGATGAAGGTTAGTATGGGACAATCCCAACCATAAATAGCTGCGGCCGCCTTCTTAATTCTTGAAGCATGGTTCTGGGTAGACCATTTCAATACCAGGTTTTGAACCTATAGAGTAATTTCACATTGTCCCCTCTGCAATATGGCCATGAGTCAAAAGCCAACCCGGTTACCCCCCAGTGAACATCCGATTCAATCCAACCACAAAAATATGAAGCCTAAAATGGGTGGTGAATTCACCTACCAACCAAAATGGGATCCCAAAACGGTTTTGACCCATAGCCATATTGTTGGACATCTCAACAACCCTGGGGGCCCGAAAACACGCATGTTCCACCTTCCCAAGCAGTCCCAAGCAGGCGCAGGCTTCACCCGAGAGCCACGCGACTCCTTTGCCCTCCACCTCGGTGCGGGGAAGCCAAGAGATGGTCTCAAGAGAGGCAAGAACTTGGGCCTCCGAGCGAGTTGGGTGTGTCTTCTTGGGAGTTGTGAATGGACGAGATCCGTTCAAAGGCACCACCTAAGCAACCATGGTTGACCATTGTTTGTGGGTATTTTACGGTTACGTTGGGGAATCAACAGAAATCAGGGTTTTTAGGTGGTGCAGGATTTCGTCCATCCACAGTAGTACCCCTTGTTGGGTTCTTGTTTTGAAAGAGAAGGGGAAACGCCCCATTTTGGGGGTCCGCTCAAAAACGACACGCCCGGTTCGTGAGAAGCAGGAAAATGTGGGTCCGTTTTTTTTTGAGTTGGCATGTCTTGTTTGGTGGGTTTTAGAGGGAAACCAAAGTTAAACGAGCGATCTCCCAAAAAAAACACATGAAAGCTTTCGGAAATGAGCTGGGAGATTCAACGTCAATTTGAGGGAGGGTACCGGTGGCATTGCCGCTGATGAGTTCTTCACTTTTGTCGCGGTTCCTTTGTGGCTGTCGGTGTCGGGGTCCTAAAATATTGCAGACCACAAAACAACTTGCTACAAAGTCAGACAGACTGAACTGTCCCGCAACGCGGACATGTCTGCTGTGAATGAGAGGGCAAGGATTTCCCATGACGGGGGGGGCCAAGAGCAGGATAAGGGCCCCTTGCAGCTTGAAGCTTTAGAAGGTTTATTTCCGTCACACATCATGACGGTTGACGCATTTCAGACCATCACATGATGGCCCCAATCAAAGCCTGGGTTTTTTTGAGGTTCAGGGAGAGTCCCAGCCAATCAGCCAATGGGTGTGGCCTGTTTCATTCTTTACATGGTTCTGGGAGGCAACTCCAACGCCTTTTGGGTTAGATGTCGAAGGCTTGGGTTTGAGATCTCGCCCGACGCAAAAAACCCGAGCCTAGGTTCACGCGCCCCGCCAGGAGTGTTTCACCCACAGGCTCAGGCGCCGGCTTGTGCGGGCTGCGAGCGAAATGCCTGAAGCACATCTGCGAGCTCCGGAGGGAAACTCTTTCATTCCTGGGTCCTAACTATGACTTGCGCAGGAGATGGTGCTTGCTTGGGGTTCGGGAGCGCGTTTTGAGGTTGTGGATTGGCTCCAGCCTTTTCAAGAGGCTTTGGCTCGTTGGTGCTTATGCTTGGCTCGGCAAGGCGTGCCCATTTGTGTTTGGTTGGTTTCTGATTGGAGGGCCATTTTTTTAAGGATTTTTTTCGTTTTTTTTAGGAATTATGTTTGTTTTTCAGGGTCGGTGGCTTTTCGGCTTTTTGGCTTTTGTGGCTTTTACGTGGGTTTTTGTGGCTTTCGTGGCTTTTCATTTCGCATCATCTGCATTCACAGTTCCTCTCTTTTCGCATCCTCTGCATTGCCAGTTCCGCTGCGGCAGGTGGCTTTTTGGCTTTTTGGCTTTTTGGCTTTTTGGCTTTTTGGCTTTTTGGCTTTTTGGCTTTTTGGCTTTTGGCGGCTTTCTGGCTTTGGCTTTTCACATCCTGATGCTTTTCCAGTTGGCTTCCTGCATCCTCAGCATCGCAAGTTCCTCTCTGGGCCCCCCGCCACCCCCCTTTCGATTAAAATGCACGCCTATTTGAATCATCACTTTTTCGATCATCATGCGACAGCTACTTTTTAGATTATTTTTTCGATCATCATGGGGGGGGGGCCGTTTTACAGGGATTAGTTTGCCCGTGTTTGAATCCTCACTTGTACCATGAGGCCTTGCCGCAGAGGAACTGATGACCCCCCTGCTGTTTTTTTTGTTTTGTTTTATAAATATTTGTTTGGCCCTAATTGAATCATCACTTTTTCAATCATCATGGGGGGGGCTGCCGCGCCCCCCAACCCCCCGCAATTTTTTAGACTTTTTGCCCCTGATTGAATCATCACTTTTTTGATCATCATGGGGGGGGGCTGCCGCCCCCCCCAACCCCCCTGCTATTTGTTGGACTTTTTGCCCCTAATTGAATCATCACTTTTTTCGATCATCATGCGACCGCTACTTTTTAGATTCTTTGCCCCTAATTTTTCGATCATCATGGGGGGGGCTGCCGCCCCCCCCCCAACCCCCCCGCTATTTTTTAGACTTTTTGTCCCTGATTGAATCATCACTTTTTCGATCATCATGGGGGGGCTGCCGCCCCCCCCCCAACCCCCTCCCCACGCCTTTAATTGAATCATCACTTTTTCAATCATCATGGAGGGAATTGCCCCCCCCCCCCCCGCTACGTTTTAGGTGTTTTACAGGGATTAGTTTGCCCGTGTTTGAATCCTCACTTGTACCATGAGGCCTTGCCGCAGAGGAACTGATGACCCCCGGCTGTTTTTTTTTTTTGTTGGCCCTTTTTGAATCATCACTTCTTCAATCATCATGGGGGGGGCTGCCGCCCCCCCCAACCCCCCCGCTATTTGTTGGACTTTTTGCCCCTAATTGAATCATCACTTTTTCGATCATCATGCGACCGCTCCTTTTTAGATTCTTTGCCCTTAATTTTTTGATCATCATGGGGGGGGCTGCCGCCCCCCCCCAACCCCCCCGCTATTTTTTAGACTTTTTGCCCCTGATTGAATCATCACTTTTTCGATCTACAGGGATTAGTTTGCCCGTATTTGAATCCTCACTTGTACCATGAGGCCTTGCCGTAGTGGAACTGTTCACCCCCCCGCTGCTTTTTATATATATATATATATATTTTTGGCCCTAACTACGTTTTAGGTGTTTTACAGGGATTAGTTTGCCCGTATTTGAATCCTCACTTGTACCATGAGGCCTTGCCGCAGAGGAACTGATGACCCCCCGCTGCTTTTTTTTAATATTTGTTTGTCCCTAATTGAATCATCACTTTTTCAATCATCGTGGGGGGGGCTGCCGCCCCCCCCAACCCCCCCGCTATTTTTTGGACTTTTTGCCCCTATTTGAATCATCACTTTTTCGATCATCATGCGACCGCTACTTTTTAGATTCTTTGCCCCTAATTGTTCGATCATCATGGGGGGGGCGGCGGCAGCCCCCCCCCCCCAACCCCCCCGCTATTTTTTAGACTTTTTGCCCCTGATTGAATCATCACTTTTTCGATCTGCAGGGATTAGTTTGCCCGTATTTGAACCCTCACTTGTACCATGAGGGCTTGGCGCAGAGGCACTGATGCCCCCCCCGCTGCTTTTTTTTTAAAGTATTTTTTTGGCCCTAATTGAATCATCACTTTTTCGATCATCGTGGGGGGGGCTGCCGCCCCCCCCAACCCCCCCGCTATTTTTTGGACTTTTTGCCCCTGATGGAATCATCACTTTTTCGATCTGCAGGGATTAGTTTGCCCGTATTTGAACCCTCGCTTGTACCATGAGGCCTCGGCGCAGAGGCACTGATGCCACCCCCGCTGTTTTTTTTAATATTTGTTTTGCCCTAATTGAATCATCACTTTTTCAATCATCGTGGGGGGGGCTGCCGCCCCCCCAACCCCCCCGCTATTTTTGGACTTTTTGCCCCTGTTTGAATCATCACTTTTTCGATCATCATGGGGGGGCTGCCGCCCGCCCCAACACCCCCGCGCCTCCAATTGAATCCTTTTTCAATCATCATGGGGGGGGGCATCATGGGGGGGCTCCCCCCCCCCCCCCCAAAAAGGCTGCCGCCCCCCCCAACCCCCCTGCGCCTTTAATTGAATCCTCACTTTACCATGATGCGGGAAGCCAATTTGCTGGTGATGCTGGCGATGTTGGCTGGACATGCGGGGGATGTTGAAAACGATGCTGGTGATGTTGACGGACTAGCGTAAAATACGTACATTTCGCGAGAAAATGCTATAAATTACAGTATTTTAGTAGCCAGGACGGAAAACCAAAAAAAAATAAACTAGAGGACGAGTGGCCCGGAAGCATAGAGGCAAGTTAGTTGTTAGCGATCAAGTAGTCTAGTCGCGACAAGCTGCACACAGACAGATTCCGCTTTTTGTCAGTAGCTCGAATATGGTACTAAAAGTTGAGGAATTTCATGCACTTCTCAGTGCAGGTTCTCCCTGCTCATCGCGATCTTGCCCACCATCATGTCGCGCGTGTAGATCGAGTGGCTCGGCATGTGGATCTCGATGATGCATACCATGCTTCGGGCGGCTCCAACATGAACAAACAGGCAGCAAGCAAACTACCGCGATGTTGATTTTTTTGCCGCGCTAGCTTGAACCAACCACCAGGCGCGTGGTGCGGAAGGCGAGGCGGGGGAGAACCGTCAACAAAAACAAGCGCTTTTCCTCTGTTCGCGCGAACACTGTTGACAAGAAACAAGTGCTTTGGAAAACCATGACAACTAGACGACGAGTGGCCCGGAAGCATAGAGGCAAGTTGATGCAGGTGAGGTAACTCTCGCAAAGTTAGCATGAGGAGTTGGCAGGCGAAGCAATTCTCAAAAAGTTGGCATGAGAAGCTGGCAGGTTAAGTAACTCTCGAAT